CGAGTGCGCTGCGAGAGTCGTGCCTCTTGCGCTCGTTCGGCCCCCCCGCGGCCCTCGAGGGGCCGCGCACTCAAGATCACTCTCACCCGGGGTCCATCTTGCGTGCATCAGGAGGGGAAAAAACACACAGACACAATTAATGGTCGATCCCCCAGAAAATATAGGAAAATATCGGAAGTGGGGGGGAAGACAGAAGCCCAGAAAATATGGGAACATAATTATGGGGAATCCTTTTATGTGTGTGTATTTATTTGTGTGCCCAGGGCCCCTTCAATTTTGGTCCCCCCGCGGCCCTCGAGAGGCCGCGCACGCAAGATCGCTCTCGCCCGGGGTCCACCTTGCGTGCAGCCCCGCTCTTGTTCTCCCGGAAGACAAACGCCCGAAACACAACAGAGCATGGGGAGTATGTTTCTGTGCTTGTGCGTATTTCTTTGTGTGCCTTGGGGCCCCTTCAGTGTAGCCCCCGCCCTTGCTCCCTCGGTGCGCCCCCGCTGGCCCCCCCTTCCTCCCCCCTTGTCCGCGCGCGTGCCTCGGGCCACGGCGCGCTCCCCCTCTGCTGTTCCCGCCCCCCCTCTCCTGGTGTTCTTCGGCGATCTCGCTGGCCGTCCTCGGGTCGACCTCGCTCTGGCGCAGGGGGAGAGCGCGAAGACAGCACGACCACGGCGAACGCCGTGTAGGTCCCCCCCTCTCCTGGTGTTCTTCGGCGATCTCGCTGGCCGTCCTCGGGTCGATCTCGCTCTGGCGCAGGGAGGAGAGCGAAGACAGCGCGACCACGAGGAACGCCGTGTAGGTCGAGCCCTGTCTCGCACGCCCGGCCAATGCACCTCCAGGCGTCCAGAGTGGTGTTCGATGCGACGGGGCCGCGGGGCGGCTTCAGATGTCTCTCGGCACGAGCCTTCGCAGCACGGACCTCGCGCCGTGTTTTTTTTGGCGTGCGGGTCCTGCAGCATGACGCTTGCCTCCAGGGGCAGGGCTCGACCTGACCGATGGTTTGGGCAGTTCGTGGGCCGTGCTCGTGCTCTTTTCGTTCTGCAGCACGGGCGTAACGAAGGCACAGCGACGGAGCAGCTAACACTCGACTGAAACGGACAACATTGGTTAGGGCGAGCCCCGTCCAGGGAGGCGCCGCTGGTCTTGCGTGCCCAGTTCCACGATCAGCTGGACCGCGTGCTCCGCGTCACCGATGATACTCTCGGGTCCGACGAAGACGCTGCGCGCATTCTGGTCCGACGCATGTGCTCGGACCAGGGGGACCAAGGGTCGTATCGAAGACGCTTGCGGCGAATCACCGCCGCCCCCTGTCTTTGGAAACGCCCACGCGGCCAAGTTGTGCCGAAGCGTGGCCAAGTTATTGGACTATGTGTTCCCCCCAGCTGTTGCGGAACCCCTTTGGGGAACGCTTGTGAGAGGAAGGGAACGGAGGAGGAGGAGGAGGACGAGGAGGAGAGGGAACAGAAGGAGGACGAGGACGAGAACGACGAGGAGGGGGAGGAGGAGGAGGAAGAAGAAGTCAGAAGAAAAAGGGGAGCGGCCTCTTGAGACCCTCTTGGGGCCTCCTCGTGGCTTCATTGAAGCCTCCTCCGGGGGGCTTTGAGGGGCCTCTGGGAGGCCTCCTGGGGCCAGCTGGGGGCGTCTTGGGGGCCTCTAGGGGACTGCTTGGCCTGCTCTGGGCAGTCGTCGGTTCCTCATCGCGCGCTTCAGCGCCGTCTCGGAGGTCTATGGGACCGTCTTGAGGCCGTCTTGTGGGCGTATCGGGCTCCTGGGAGGCCTTCTGGGCTGTCTTTCGGGCCTTTGGGGGGCCTCCTAAGTCGCCTTGAGGCGATCTTGGTCTATGTGGCCGTCGCTGAGCGTCGGAATCCCTGAAAAGGCGAGAACTCTTACACCATTGAAACACAGGCAACATTGATTTTGGCCTCCTGGAGATCCTCTTGGAGCTCTCTTGGGGCGTCTTTGGAGCCTCTTCGTCCGTCAGGAGGGCGTCTTGGGCTGTCTTGGGTGCGTCTTTGGTGCATCTCGGCCCGTCTTGGAGGCCGTCTTGGAGGCGAGGTTTCCAGTTTTTCTTGGCCTTCGGGGTCCTTCCGGGTGGTCGGCAGGCTGGGCCGAGCACCGAATGGGAACCTTGAACCAACCAAGTCACGCATGCGGCTGGCACGCCGTACATCCCTGTGGCAACTCACAGTCGGCAGATCGAAGTCGCCTACGGCGAATCACCGCCGCCCCCTGCCTGTTGTAAACGCCCACGCGGCCAAACGTTGGGCCGAAGACTGGCCAAGCTGTTGGACGACATGTTCGCCCAGTCCTTGCGGACCCCTTAAGAAAACACTTGTGAGAGGAAGAGGAAGGAGCAGGAGAGGGAGGAAAATGAGGACGAGGAGGAGGGGGAGGAATGTGAGGAGGCATCTTGGGATGCTTTTTCGTGCTATATGGGGCCGTCTTAGGGCCGTCTCGGCGGCTTCTCTGGGCGCCCTTCGGCCCTCTTGGGCCGTCTTGTGGGCCTCTCGGGGGTCTCTTGGGCCGTCTTCGAGCGATCTTTGGGGCCTGTGCCATGCCGTCTCGGAGCGTCGGAGACCCGACAACGCAAGGGCGCCAAAACCATAGAGAAACCACACGATACTCGATGATGTTGGCCTCCTGGAGGTCCTCTTGGAGCGCTCTTTGGGTGTTTGGGGGGCCTCCTGGGCCGTCTTGAGAGCCTCTCTGGCCGTCTGGATGGCATCTTGGACTGCCTTGGGTGAGTCGTGAGACCGTCTTGGGCTCTCTTGGGTCCACCTTCGCCGTCTTGGATGCATCTTGGAAGCCATCTTGGACCTTTCTTGGCCGTCTCGGAGGCGAGTTTTCTGTTGTTTCGTGCCTTCCTCGTCCTTCCTGGTCATGCTGGGTGGCCAGTGCAATCGGTCGAGGCCCCACTGGGGAATTTAAACGGGCCCACGCTACCTCGAATTCAGGCGGCAAGCCGCATGTGACGGCGGATCGAAATCGCCTACGGCGAATCACCTCCGCCCTTTGCCTTGTTGAACAGCGTATGTGGCAGAGCGTTGCGGCCAGAGCTCGGCCAAACTATCGGACTCCGTGTTCCCCCAGCCGTGGTGGAAACCAATCGGGGAGCACATTGGGAAGAACAACGGAGAGGAGGCGAGGGAGGTAGCATGAGGAGGAGGAGGAGGAGGAGGGCTCGTGGGAGCCTGGGGACACTACACTCTTGTGGCTTCATGGGGTCTTCCTGGGTGGTCTCTGGGGGGCTGCCTTGGGCCTCTTGGGGCCTTTGGAGGCTCCTTCGGATGTCCTTTGGCAGTCTAGGGCGTTCCTGGCCCGTCTGACGCTGTCAGAAGCCGTCTTGGGGGCATCTCTGGGCCGACTTGTGGCCCTCTTGGGGCGATTCAGGGCCGTTTTGGAGAGCATCTTGGGTGCCTCGGAGGTCTCCTGAGCCGTGTTGGCGCCCTCTTGGGGGCCGCCTTTGGGACCTCTTGGGCAGTCAGGGAGCCATCTCGGAGGCTTCTGGGGCGCTCGTGGGGCCATCTACGTTGCCCCTGGGGCCGTCTTGGACCGTCTGACATCTAAACATGGGCAAACTCAAACAGTATGTTAATGAAGTTAGCTTCGTTGGGCCTTCCTGCAGGTCCTCTCGGAGGCCTCTTGGGCCGTCTTGGAGGCCCTCTTCGGCCGTCTTGGGCGGCCTTGATGCCATCTTGGGGGCATCTCGGCCTATCTTGGGGACATCGTGGGGACATCTTGGGGCCATCGTAGCAGTCCTGGAGACCATCTTGTCCGTCTTGGTAGCCATCGTGGGGCCGTCTGGCGCGCGGCGATTGACGCGACAGTACTATGATCAGCCTGCGACTTCTACTCAGAAGTGGTACAAAAGGGGTCAGCGTGGAGAAGTTGCGCGCGCAGCTCAGAACAAAAACCAGAGCGCGAAGCGCCGATGGCTTAGGGCGGATGCAGTTTTGCCTTGCTCTCTGGCACCGCGTCGCCTGATCCTGCGGTACGGCGACGGAGAGGGAGGGGGCGACGAGAAGCAACCCTACGATGACGAACGCGCAGGTGGGAGGCCAGCGCAGGCGGGACAAGGCAGTTTGTCAGGCAGAACGCGCCCGACCACCCAATGCCAGAGCAACTCTGAGCCCAAAAATGCGAGGATGGCTCAGCCGAAACTACTCCGCAAGCGCTACGTATCTCCCAGCCCAGAGTTGCGATGATGTCTCATGCGAATCGGGCCTCACCACCACAGGTCAGGGCATCTGTGAGCTCAGATCTGCGAGGTATCTAAGCCCAAGCGGTCTGGACACTTTCGCGATCGGCATCTTGCAGCCCAAAGTGTCATGGATCTCTCTTGTGAAATTGGCCGGGCCTCCTCGCGCGCAGCATCGCCGCGCCTGGAGTTGCGAGGCTGTATCAAGCGAAACGGACCAGACCACAGCGCGCAGCATCTCGGAGCCCCGAGTTGCGAGGATCTCTCAGGCGAAACGGGCCCGACAATTTCAGATCCCGCCGAATCGAATCACATAAGAATGATAATTTCTCAGGCGAAGTGGGCCCCACCACCTGATAATGCTGAGGATGTCCCTGCTCAGGGGCCCTCGGGCGGAACTAGTCCGCATCAAAACAGGACCGCAGTCAGCACAGCTGTTTTGGAGAAAGGGATGCCTTAATGTCCCAGAGTCTGGTTTCTGTCCGCTCCCCCTCTTCCTCCTCTTCCTCCTCCTCATCCTCCTCCTCCTCCTCCTCCTCCTCCTGTCCCAAGCCTCGAGGCCGGCCAATCCTTTGTGGACGGGCACTTCTTGTGCGTGTGTGATCTTCCCCTGCCGGGTGTTCCTAGAAGTACACCTGGCCCAAGGTACCCCCAGGATTTTCGGGGTGGCCCAGACGGCCTCCAGGGCACCCCTCACGAGGCCCAGAGGGCCTCCGGGGCTCCAAGAGGGAACGGAAAGTTGGGGGCACCGCGGGCCAGGGGCTCTTCGAGCAACACCCGAACACCTGTGGCCAACCGTGGCGCAGCCCAGGGCCCCAGCTGTCGGAGTTGAAGCCGTTCGAGCTGTCCAACCTTTGCTGGGCCTACGCCAAGCTGTCCTTCGGCGCGCTCGCGCCCGCGAGCGCCAGGGAACGAGGAGGCGGGAGAGGACTCAGGACTGCTGGTTGGGGTGGGGGGACGAGGAGAGGCAGGGGGCATGACCTGCGGATGGCGCGGGCGAGAGGGATTGCAGCGGGACGGAGGGATGATTAGCACTGACAGTTGGTCGTCCTTGCCCCCCCTCCTCACCCCGTGGCCCTTCTTGGTGATCCCTGAATCTGGGCTCCTGGGGGGTGGTGCCCCGAAAAGGGAAGTGAGCTTGCGGGAGCAGTGGTCCACCGTGTCAGTGGGTCATGTCCCCAAGTCAAGCCCGGCACGTGAGCCCCACGTCCGAGAAGCATGCCCTGGACCGAGGGGGCAGTGGGGCACCAGCTCCACGCTCGGGCTCCCGACAAATGTTCTGCCTGCTGTGCGGGATGCGGGAGCTCTTTCTGGCAGACCGGGGAAGACTTTCTCGCTCTATTCATTGGCTGACGCCGCACCGCCGACCCCTTGGGGCGGCAGTAAGAGTGAGAAACAGAGTTTGCGGAACGCGCGATGTCTGGGAACTTTGGTGTTTCAGCTTCTTGGGATTCCGTAGGGGGAGGTTGTTGGCGGATCGCGGCTCTTCTCTTGGTTTTCTTCTGGGCTCTCCTGGCAGCATTCTTGAGGCCTTTTGGGAGCCGTGTCGAGGCCTTTATAGGGGCCTCTATAGGGGCCTCTATAGGGGCCTCGTGGCAGCCTCGTGGCAGCCTCTTGGGAGCCTCTGGGCGCCTCTTCAGGTTGTTGTGGGGCCGAGTGCTCGAAATGTCCATCCAGGTTGCCCCTCTGGGCCCCCTCTTGGGGCCGTCCTGGGGCCCTCCTGGGCCGTTGTGGAAGCTTCTGGGGCCGTCTTTTGGGGCCCTCCTGGGCTGTCTTGGAGCCCCATTGGGGGCCTCTAGGGCTATCTTGGGTCGACCTTGAAGGCTTCTTGGGCCGTTGTGGGCCTCGCGCAAGCCCAAGAGGCCGATGTGCTAAAACATATATTTTATGTTCCCCTTGGGAATGAGACGATTTTTGCTTCTGGAGGGCCTCTTGGGACGCCTCTTGGTGGCTTCTTGGGGCGTCTTGGGGGCCTCTGCGGCCTTGTGGAGGCAATCCTGGGCGTCTTGGAGCGATCTTTCGGAAAATCGTAGCCCTCTTGGACCGTACATGGGGCCTTTTGGGGCCCGCTTGGCCCGTTTTGGGGCCCCCAAGGGTGCGGGCGGCCCTTTTGCCCCCCCCCCCCGCACCCCCTCCAGACCGGCCAGACCGGGCTCTCAGGGGAGGGGTTTAGGGAGGGGGAAGCATCTCACACGCCGTGACCCCAAAGGGTCGGCGGAGTTTCTTCCTCTTTCTTTGTTTCCGCTTCCCAGTACGTACTTCGCATATGTTCCCAAAACAGTGCTTGCACTCAGGGGTTCGTCACAGTGGTCTAGGGAACTGGGCCTGGCCGTCGGTCCAGCGGCTATGTTCTCGCCGTTGCCGCCCCGTCGCCGCCTCCGCGCCGCCCGTCTTTTGAGCCGGGCCGTCGGTCTGGCGGCTATGCTCTCGCCGCCGCCGCCTCGTCACCGCCCTTCGTCTGGGCCCGCTCGTCGGGTCCGCCGCCTTGTGGTTGCCGTCGCCCCCTCGTCTCTGCCGCCGCCCTGGATTGCGCCGCATAGATTGCACCATATATAATGCACGACCTTCAGTGCACCACGCAGAGTGCACTAAATATATAATTCACCACATATATTGCACGACGTAGATTGCATCACATAGACTGCACAACCTGGATTGCACTACATCGCACTATGTAGATGTTGCCGCATATATTGTACCACCTGGACTGCACGACGTAGATAGCACAGTATAGATCGCACAGTATAGATCGCACTACCCAGGTCGCACCGCATATATTGCGCCGCATAGGTTGTACTACCTCGATTGGGCGACATACAGTGCATATCATATATTGCGCAACATAGATTGCACAACACCTAATGCACAACTCACATCGCCCACATATACTGCACCACATAATTCGTCTGCACCGCATCGATTGCAAACAGACATGTAGTGCACAATCTAGAGTGCTAGAAACACTGCTCGGACGCCCATGGGTAACCTTCCGATATTATATGTATAGATGTGTATATAATTACATATTCATACATGCACACTCACCAACACATGTATATGCCTGCCTCTCTCTCTCTCGTCGTCCTTATGATAATCCTCTTCCTTCTCGTCCACCTCTCCCTTCGCTTCTCTAGCTCCTCAGGCCTCACTGTAAGTCTGATGTATAAGCGGCCAGGGTCGCAGCAAGACGCAAGACCCGCCACGTTGATCAGCCAGAGCGGGGCTTGGCGACAGATGCCCGCAAGCGAAGCACATGTTTGGGATCCGTTCATCTTTACACGGACTTCGGATTTCCAGTCCGTTCGGCATTTATGCTGTGTTCCGATCCCGTCGTAGAGCGCAGTCTGTGCATTGAATTAGCGGAGGAAGAGGAGGAGGAGAAGCAGCAGGAGAAGCGGGAGAATGGGAGACAGATGTGGGTGGGATTGAGGGCGAACTCGTATCCGTCGCCGTCTGGTTTTCGCGTGCCTCCCCTCTCTCCGTCTTCCCCTCCTCCTCCCCCTCCTCCTCCTCCTCCTCCTTCCTCCTCCTCCCCTGGGCAGTGTCGCGGCCTTGCACGCCTCCCCGCCGGCTTGTGACAGGGGCTGCCGTCACAACAGCATAACAGCACGGCCCGTGCAAGCAATCGGTGACCAGGGTCGACAGTTGCCCCTGTGAGGAGGAGGAGGAGGAGGAGGAGGAGGAGGAGGAGGGGGAGGAGGAGGAGGAGGAGGAGGAGGACGAGCAGCAGGAGGAGGAGGAAGAGGAAGAGCAGGAGGAGGTGGAGGAGGAGGGGGAGGAGGCGGAGGACGAGTCGGTGACCGCCGCACAAGTTGGGCTGCGGGCCGGCGCTCCGAGGGAGCCCGAAGCCTGCACCGCGCGGGCCCCGAGGCTCGCGGCCAGGCCGCATGGGATTTCCCTCGGTGCGCAGATTTCGGCTCTGCGTGGGGTGGCCCTGTGCACTCGCTACGATCCAGATGGGTGTGGAAAGAGTGGGCTCCAAATGCACTGTTTCTCTCAGGGTCAAAGCTAAAAGTACGGTGGCCGCGACGCACGCGGGCTAACGGGCCAGAATGCTTACGGTTCGGGTGCACGTTGCGGTGATGCTTCCCCTCTTCATGCACTGCTAACTACGACTCTGGTTGCTACATGCCTACTTCGCAGACCTGGCGTGCCACCCGCAGGCGCGCCAGTGCTAGGAGATTGGTGTTTTGATTTCAAAAATTTGTTTTCCAATTCAAAAAACATTCACTAAGATCAGAATGGGTTTAGAAACAATGGGCAGCATTCCTCTTTGTTTGTTGCACCAGGGTCGCTGACAGTGTCGCGGCAAGGCCGCCTGCCCATCAGCAGCCTCTGTCGTTTTTGGGCAAGATTTGCTTTTGGGAATCGTACCCCTTCTCTTCCGCACCCACGCCGGGCGTCCAAGATGCACGAGTCGCACTGGAGCTCCCTGGTGGAGGCGCGTGCCGGCCCAGTGCGTCGCGGGGCGCACGGCCCCCGGTGCACTCCGGGCTCGGGGTCCCTGCCCTGCCCCCCGCAGCGAGAGACAGGCCTGCCCCAGCTGTTCTCCGCCGTCGCCAAGCGCATGATGGACCGCAGGATCAACGAGTTCAGCCTGCAGGGTCTCTCGATGGTGCCGGGGAGGGCCAGGGCGGGGGCGAGGAGGACGGGACGGGGGCCAGGACAAGGGCGAGAGTTGGGAGTGCGAGCGGAGTCCGCGGGGTCGGCGCCTCCCTTGCAGGTGCGAGGGTTCAGGGGCAACGACGGGGGGTTTGGGGGGTGCTTGCCCATGGAGGGTTTCTCCGAAGGGCTTGGGCGACCCGTCCTCCTCCTCCTCCTCCTCCTCCTCCTCCTCCTCCTCGTCCTCGGGTCGCCTACGGCCCCTGGGGACACCGTGCAGTGTTTGCCCAGGGGCGGAAGCGTCAACCCCGAATCGCCCCCTGCCTCGTCGCCGATGGGGGCCCTGATGGCCCACCCATCCCAGGATCGTGCGATGTTTCGCTCTCGGGCTCTGATGGCCCACCCAGCCCAGGAGCGTGCGATGTGTCGCCGATTCCAGCTCGATGCCCCCTCCCCTGCTCCTCCTCTTCCTCCTCCTCCTCCTGCTCCTCCTCCTCCTCGCTCGCTAAGGGTCCAAGAGGGGATCGAAACCCATAGTTCAAAGATGATATTAAAAACGAAGACAGTACCGAACACATGCACATGCAGGAGAGGGGGGGCGCTAGGTCACAACAGTCCTGGACCTGACCACGGCAGCCTGGGCGAGCACCCCCCCCGCGTCACCCAACGCTGCATCAGTGGGTCTGCCTGGATGGTCAGTGAGTGGGCGGCCATGGCCAACGATGTGGTGGTCTGCCAGCACATGTGCCAGGCGTGAACACCGACAAGTCAACGTGCTAGAGGCAAGCGTACAAGTGGGCGAGCCAAAGGCGCACATGTCAAAGCCAAAACATTGAAGCGCATCCGACTGCAGTAGTAGCCGAACAATCGGCAGCGATGACATGCACGCCTGGTCTGCCCTGCGCACATGAGGGAAGGTGAACAGACAGGGAATGCCACAAGCAACGCACTGAATGACAGCATTAAACCACTTCTGGAGAGTCACATTATCCTTATCAGCAGCTTCCTTGACAAAAGGGGAGCCCCAAGGAAACCGAGGAGGACGATGGCAAGCACCTTTAGAGGTCCTGCAAGAACTCAGCGGGGTATCCAGAAGCAGCGCAGAAACCCGAGACTCCTTGATGAGGTTGAGCACGCCTGCCAACCCTTCCTTGCAACACGTGCGAAACCAGTCCTGAGAAGGGGATAAATCATCAACTCCGTGACCGAGGAGTGGGCGAAGAAAGGCCCTCGCCACAGGACGAGTGAACGCATCTTCGTGACCAACATCGTGCACGCACGTGCAGGGCGCACTAGAAGAGGCATGGGGGAACCCAGGGGAAGGAGAGAGAAGACGTGCTCCCAGGCGACCTGAGGGAAAAGAGGCTCGAGCGGGGGAGCCCCCAGCATGCGGGGGCGGAAGTGGGGCCGTGGCACCTTCACGGCAGGGGAATGTGGCATGGATGTTCCCCATACCCTCGCATTTGTTCTCTCTAGCAAGAGTTTACCTGTCAAGTGTAGCTCCCTGGGGCTCGTCCACGCGCGGCCTTCAAGTGGAAGAGAACCAAGCAGCGCGGCAGGGGCCCGAGCGCCTCACGTGCCCGAGGAACTCCCAAAGTCAAATGTGGCAGCCCGAACCAGTAACTAACTTATCAGGAAACTCGGGTCTGGGGCGAGTCTTGGCCGAATGAATTTTCAGCAGCCGAGCGGGCCTGGCGACGTGACCACAGGCATTGGAAAAATCCATCGGGGGGAGGTGGAGCAGGCGCAGCCTGGCAAGGAACAGCATGATTCACAAACTCAGCTGTGTGTAACTTTGGTTCGGCCGCGAAACTAACAGTGCTAGCGCTGAAGCAACAGGACCCAAGCCAACTATCCACTGCAGAGTAAACTCTCCGCCATCCCTGGGTAGCCACAGCAGCTCTGGACATCAGGGAAAGAAGCCCCCTGCGGTCATCGTTGGCAAGTCGAGCGGGGGAGGCGTTGTCTTAAGCATATCTAGATGTCACAACCGAGGAAACTCCGCAACCCATCAACATCTGTTGCGAACTGTGCTGACCATCGCGCGTTGACGTTGGAACCCGATAGAGATCTAAAAAAAGCGACCCACCTGCACACATGCAGGCATATGCCCGAGCCTAGCACTGGCCTCATCATCACACAGGGGAAGGCGTTCCATTTTATCAAGGTGAGACCCTGGATAATGAGTAATGCCCACGTTGATCGCAGTACGATATATGCTCAGATAGCCGGCTCCAGCTTAGGCAACACGTTATTTAATGGGTCCCAAGTTACGATTGCAAAGAATAGCCTCGCGCCAGCATGAACCTCACAGTGACGCGCTTTATGCACCAATGACATGCGCGTACTGCTGGTGGCCACTCTCTTTAGTGCTTTCAACGCTGAGCGAGCAGAACGTACTCTTTCAGAAATCTCTGCTGCCACGCACGCGGTGCCTGTAACCATAGAACCAAGTAGTTTGTGGGATATGACGATGGGCGCATCGAACCCCTGTTCCATGTCCCGCGATAGCCGTGAGACTCATCGATCAATCAGGCGTTTGAGGGCAAGTTGCCCAAGTCTTCATCTGGGCGAAACACGGCCCCGGAAGGAGGGGGATTCCAAACAGGATCTTCGCTCTTGAGCTGCTCCTCGATTTCGCCCTGGGCGCGAGCAAACAGCGCGTTGAACACGTCCGTCGCGGGGGCGGCGCCAGGGCGACATCCGCGGCGAGGCCTCGCAAGGCCAACAGCATCGCGGACCCTCCAAAACGATTCATCGCGGCTCTCCCGAGTCAGCTCCAGAAGGCGGGTTGGCGCGCCCGCGGAATCGAAAGGGGCGCCCATCTGAAGAGTCGCGTCAAGACCAGCGCCCAAGAAGGGACTTACGCAAAGACCGGCCAGGGTCTCTTCCAACTTGTCCGCCTCGGCGGGCAACGACGTGCAAAGTTCCTGGAAGGCTGCGTAGATGGCTGCCGAAAGAACAGCACAGACGGCGCCAGCAGGAAGGACCGCCCTCAAGGCAGCCAGGCAGAATTGCTTATGAGGCAAGATGGCGCCTTCGAGGGCCCGTCCAGGGAAGCCGCCGCACTGGGCGCTCAGGGGCGCCTCATGGCCAAGGAAGCCGACCGAGGGCAAAGATTATGCACTCCCCAGATAGTACAACGCGCTGGTTTTTAATGCGGCAAGCTTGCCCACTTGAACCCAGAGGGCCCCCTCTGTTAAACTGCCGTTCTTAGCGGGAGAGGATCAACTAGCCTGGAAACTCGTTAGCAGGAATATTTTGCCAGGTCGCTGATGACTTCATGCGGACCAGCGGATTCGCCTACTGGAGCCTTGCGCACCTCCGCCTGCGCGGAGAGCAGAGACGGCAGAGAGGCGAGGGCAGGCGGTGGTTTTGGCATGTCAGCGGCAACTGGCCTCGCTGTACTCCCGGGCTAACACTTCATGTTCGGCGGAAGACGCCGGCTCCGCCAGAGCAATGTTGGGCGATGTTGCCTAGATCCTTCTCATCTCGCGCAGCGTTGCCATTCTCGTCTTCCATGGATGGGGAAAGGCAGCGGCATGTTGGACGGCTTCCCTCCGAATCTCAAAGCGCGATCGAGCACCTTCCTTTTTTGGGCTGGGGCGCGCCCGTTAATCGCGACGGAAACGTTCTAAACATGCTCTTGTCGGAATGTTGCTCTGTCAGACTGCGTCGACTCAATGAGCAGCGCCCTAGTTTCCAACCAGAGACAATTCATGGAAAAAGGCGGGGGCATCGTGATGACGCGGGCTCCTGAGAAACCAGCTGACCGACTTGGCCAGTCCACTTCTAGCCGCGCGCCAAGTATCGAACAACCCCATTGACGGACACGCGCGCCAACATCCCCCTCGCGTGACTTGCCTGCTATGCTTTTGCAAATAACCTGGAAGCTTCATTCCCTCGTGGGGCCGCGGTGGGAGCTTTTGTCGAGGCCCTGCGGGCTCGGGCGAGTTGGAGGGAATCTCGGGGGAGGTAACAGGCTCGGGGGCGTCTGGGATCAGGCTTGAAGGCCCTAGCGGCAGCGCAGCGCATGCAATCGGCAACCTCGACGCAGCGTTGCAGGTACCTCGCAGGAGTTAAGACAGCGCCTGAATTCCTGAATGCACCCTGGGCCCTTGAGCTCGCCTATGTCAACGCGAGGGAAGGCGGCCTTATTGATCTTAGCTTTGCTTGCCCACGAGAAATAAACGCGCGCCGGTCTGTGGCCAGACAGGGCAACGTGGGCCAATATCGAACTCGTTGCGAAATGTGGCCACGGCACATGTTTTTTGCCGATGCGATGTTTGCGCATGCTATTGCCGATAAAGGTGCGCCCGCAATTGTGGCCAAACAGCGCGTGGATAGCATGTGGTCGAGACAGCGCAAGACAGGCGTGAAAGTGTTCGCCTGGCTTGTCTCGGGGTTGCAAAAAGCTTATGTGCCCTGCCCACTGAGAGCGCGCAGATCTCAGCCGTGCATTGGCATCCACAAAGGTCATGCCGACCTGCCATTTGTCGAATAGATTAGAGGTAGTTTGCCAACAAGACAAGAGGGATCGAGACTTGAGCTTAACGCGCGGCGCATGAACAACAGCAGCCCCAGCTGCGAGCACTGGGGAATCGATTGACACGATGGGATACCTGGGGCCCGAGTGGAGAACTACAATATCTTTCCTGGCCAGGGCGGTGATATTATCTTTGGCTGCTGACAAGGGTTCCCCCCCACCACCCACCCACCCACCCACCCGCCCCACCCACGCGCGCCACATTAACCCGCAACTCGCGCCCCGTCCCCCCATCGCGCGCCCCTGAGGCCACAATTTGGACAGTGCCCGACATCCTAACACCCTTCGGGTTTCGCGGCTCTTCGATGCCAACCATGTGCGCAGTTTATTGTTGAAGGTGGGCCTTGATGGCCCGGGTCCTCATGAGCCTACTGTTGCCCCCCGTGCCCTCGGAGGTCTTGCATCGCGTGGACTTGGCATTGAACTAAGCAAATGTATTGAACGCTCCTACTTTTAGACTTCCCAAG